TCCATGGAGGTTCCAGGCACCAGCCAAACCCACTCCAGGTCCCATGTTTTCCTTTAGACACGCCGCCTCTGATTCCTCTGACCAGCGGTCACTCCACAACACACTGACTTCCTCACAGGTTGAGGTGTCTCCATGGAGGTTCCAGGCACCAGCCAAACCCACTCCAGGTCCCATGTTTTCCTTTAGACACACCGCCTCTGATTCCTCTGACCAGTGGTCACTCCACAACACACTGACTTCCTCACAGGTTGAGGTGCGCACCGTGGAGATGCTGTGAACGTGTAAGAACTCATTTGCTCCCCCTTCCCTTGTTCCTTGGGTTGTTTCTCAAGCAAGGCTGCAAACAGACTTTGGCGGGCTCTTGATGGGAGGTTCCCCTTGATTTTCTTCTTTCCCCATAAAGACCCCTTCCTGCCCATTGTATTCAGATGCCAAGAAGCACATAGGTGTGTGTTCTCTTTGGGCATAATTCTAAGACCTGAGTCAAAGCAAGGGCTGAGCCAGCGTGTCCAACTTGCCCGGCAGAAGTTTTGTGGACTGTGCCCCCACAGACACTGCCTGTCACTGTCACTGCTCCATGCTACTGATTAGTGGTCTTTGGTGAACCACACTCTGAAATCACACAGAGTTGACAAAGGGAGGAAAGAACTCTTGCTTCCAGGCTTCCAAGGTGTGCTTGCTTCTGCATGCCCTCATGGCCCAGCTGTGCCGTGCATGGAGATATGAAGAAGCACTGACACGACAGAAACGCGGGGCGAGATTCACGATGCCACAGTACATCTGTTTCCATTTGGTGCAGAGAAAGTTAATTCTTGAAGACATTTCATTTAACTTTGTGGTATTTTGCAGTTTAACCTGTGATGCTTGCAACTTTTTCTTTTATCTTCTCTCCTCCCCCTTAGGCCTAAAGACGGGGGAAGCAAGTTTTACATCTAGTTGTAAGTATGGCTTCATGGCAGGTGATCTGTGCTTTGGACAAAGGCAAGAAAAATGTACTCAGGGGACAAAAGTGTTGCCAACCATACTTCTCAGCTCTTCACCTCCTACCGAAACACCCACTTACTAATTCAAAATACAGCTTCTGAAAGAATAAGAGGTGTTACCTTCCAGAGCAAGGCACCGGGGTGGGCTGGACGACCAGATAAGGTTGTGTAAGCACTCAAGATATTCAGACCCCTCGAGTTTGAATCCAGGGAAGCAGCGATAGGAGATCACAGTCCCCACTGGGAAGGAGGTCTGGAACTCAGAGATGTTCACGTAGCCATTGGAAGAGGCTAGAGGTCTCAGGCAACCTGTGCAACATGAAAATGAAAGAAAAAGGGAAGGTTTCCCTCGGTCATCTCCACACACCTACATCAGACAGAACGCTGCAGCCCCACTATGAGACTGGCACTGCCCCTGAGGACAACGCACTTGCTCCTACGAGCGTGGGCTCCCTGTCCCACTGGCCCATTCTACATATCATGCGGACGTTTGTTTCCCTATCTGCAAATGGCACCAAGAGGGTCGGGTAAGAAGTTGGGGGAGGGAGGGCAGCAAGTGTGTGACTCCAGGTTGCCCCAGCCCTGACTGCACCTTAGTGCCACCTGAGGGGCTCTTAAAAGGCACCAGTGCCTGGGCCCTATGCCCAGGGTATGGGGAGAGCCTGGTCATCTCTCTCTCTCTTTTTAAGGCTTCCCAAGTAATCCTCATGTGTGGCAGGGTTGAGAACAATTGAGGTGCCACACGAGGAAAGAGACCCCAGTGGTTTTGGCATGGTGGTGGTGGCTTGGGAAGGTTATGTTCCAAACTTGATTCTGCTGTAGCAGATTATGGAACAGGAACCTGCCTAAGATGGTACCATTCAACTGATTAGTGGTCTTTAGTGAACCACACTCTGAAATCACACAGATTTGATAAAGAAAGGAGGAAAGAGCTCTTGCTTCCAGGCTTCTGACGTGTGCTTGCAGCACGCCCTCACTGCTCAGCTGTGCTGTGCACGGAGATACAGAAGAAGTGACCCAGTTGTGTTTTATGTGAAGTAAAACACACATAAACCCTACAGGAAACTACTCCAGTGTAGTAGTTCTCAAACTTGAGGATAACCAGAGGGCTCGGTGGCACACAGACTGCTGGGCCCACCTCCAGAGCTTCCATTTCAGCAGCTCTGGGTACTGACCTTCCAGGTGCCACTGCTGGGCCAGGAGCACACAGCTACAGACAGTCCCTGCATTAGGCACAGAATTCTGTGTGCCATTGGAGTGAATGTGGGGCCTGGAGCCTAAACTCCTACTTCTTTCTGTAAAACATTAGCTGCCTTTTTGTCTGGAAGCCGTGTAGCTCAGTAGGACATTCCCAGCGGCACAGAATTCTGTGGTGTGTGGCATATGCTTGATCATGGAATTTATTGGCCTCAGCAATTTCAAGGGAGGGAATAACAGCTCGGCAGAGTTGGTGTTCTTCCAGAGGAGAACTAATTGTGTGTGAAGTAAATAATGCATAATAGAAACACCTACCTTACCCTCCAGTCACCAAGTACAGATTGTATGTTTCACACGCATGGAAACCAATGACTGAGCCCTTATCCTAAGCTGACATGGTTGCATATTTTAAGTATCTTTGAAGGAATCTCTTAGCAGATTGCTCTGGCTGACAGTCCAGTCATAGTGTCTGAGCATCAGAGCGAGTGAGGAAGCGGGGAGGTGCTCATTTGGGTCATGCAGTTCCCACCCTGCACTGCTGGGCCTGGGGGCTGTACAGCTCTGCAGACTCGGCAGACCACTGCCCTGACCGGCCAGTGCTCAGGATGGACCACATGCAAAAAAGTGTGGAGCTCAGCCGTGTTTTTAGACAGTCCCATGGCCTTAGATTACGTTTCTTCTGAGCTAAAAACTGGCAATGTGTTCATGACAAAAGTAAAGTGCGTGTGTTGGCGGTGGGGGGAGGGGTGAAATCAGAAATAAACAGAATCAATAATTGAGAAAAAAAACATAAGCACATTGACACGTGCAATAGAATGCATTGGAACCCTTATGCATAGCTCAGATGGATTGGCACAAGGATCATGCCCGCTCCTCCTCCTAAGAAGGGGTTGTGGTTCCAAGCTACCCACACAGATAAACTGATTTCTCCCAGATAAAAACTAACTCTGACCCAGAGTGAGTAGGAGGCATCTAGATGCTGCTCTCCAAAACATAAAGTCTCACACACACAAAAAATGGTCTTGGAACAGCTCCCTAATCCCCACCCCCCAAAGAAAATGACAGGGGTTATAATTCGTAGTTAGCTAACCAGAGGAGAAGGAAAGATATGCTCACTCTTGGCTAGAGACAGCCTGTAGAAACATAACCGTAGAAAACTGGCTTCAACTCAATAGTTCAATGTGATTTCCATTTGTACTTCTAGATAATAGAGAGAAGGCTCCTCAGGCTTCAGCCCCTGGATCTATAGGTGCAAATAAAAGTTACAGAATGAAATGTCAATCTAATGGCCAATTATATTGCCCCTGGGGGCTCGGAGAGGTGTTGTGCTGTCTAAGGCAACGTGGATTCCTCATTCCCTGTGCTGTGCTGGATGGATGGCAGGAGGACATACAGCAGCGGCAGCTGCAGCAGGCAGGACATGCCCACCTGCACTGTGACAGGCAGGGTGGCGTGGAGGGTGGGACACAGGCCATACACCTCCTCAGAGGAATGAAAGCTGTGCTGGGGTTTAGAGCAGCCAGCCAGCTCTGTTGTCACTGCTGCAGACCTAGAGAAGCTGTCTCGACTGGGGTTTGAGTAAGGGGTGGTGGAGCAGGGAACGGGAGTGGCTAGACAGGGCCGTGGGAAAGCCTACATCTGAATGCCACAAAACAACCCCCGAGTGGTATACCACTTCAAAAAAACCATCGTGGAAAAAGGACTAAAGAAGCATCCTGTATTTCCTGTATTTAAGCGACAAAAAGGGAAATAGAAAGGGTGGGAAGAAAACAGGATATGTGGAAAAAAGGAAGGCAAGGCATGGCTAGAGCGTGGGGTGGCTTCCTTGGCCTTTCCTCTGCTACGGCCAGAGGACTGCAGCGAATTGGCATTCAGTGAGGTTTATCTGAATATGTAGCCCAGCCTAAGAGCCGGCTGCTTGTTTTGCAGACAGTCTCTGAAACTATACATAAATCACACGTCTCCTTTCAAAATGAAATCTCGAGTGTGCCAAGTGATAGAGACAGTTTCGGGGGACGGAGGAGGGGAGGTGATGCAGGGGGGCTGCTTCTGGCCTCCTTGTGCTGAGGCTGCATTCCCTCAAGGGTCATGATTTCCAAGCTCTCATGTAAGGAAATGATTTATTTCCAATGACAGGGCACACAAAGCAATATCAGAGTCTGCCCGTTGTGATTTCTGAGCACAAAGCTAGTATCGTCTCAGCTTTAACATGCCGGTGCCTTTGGAGCAATGATACTGCTCCCCCTCTCCCTCAAACTACGAATTATGCATTGGCTTCTCAGTCCTTTGGTTCAAATCACGTGTCAAAAAATAAAATCAGAATTAATGTGAACTTGAGGGCTTATTTCTACAAATAGGGCCCTCTATGTTGGCCCAAGCAAATTTATAAATGCAAGAGGATAAATATTCATTGTGTGGTTTGGATGAAATTTGAGTTTGGTCATTTTTCTGCTCTCCATGCGTTATAAAAAAGGATAACATTATTAAGAGAAAATAGCCTCTGTAAGACAATTAATGTGAACTTGAGGGCTTATTTCTACAAATAGGGCCCTCTATGTTGGCCCAAGCAAATCTATAAATGCAAGAGGATAAATATTCATTGTGTGGTTTGGATGAAATTTGAATTTGGTCATTTTTCTGCTCTCCATGCGTTATAAAAAAGGATAACATTATTAAGAGAAAATAGCCTCTGTAAGACAGGCTTTAACTATATTCTCATCATATTGATATAAGTATAAATGCCCTGTTATTTCCATTAAATATACAATAATTTATCATTGTGTTCACAGCCCAGTTACAAGTCTCCTAATTCTTAAACTACATTTGCTCACTTAGAGTAAAGGAAACATCTAACATGCTAAAGAATGAGGTCTTTCCTGTTTATACTTTAAAACTGGGTGTATGGTGGAGCTGAGCAGTCTACTAGGAGTGATTACGATGATTTCATGACTTCGAGAAAATCATGGTGAAGGTACAGCTGGACCCACGTGGGCTGGACGGCTCTGTTTTTCCTCCCACCATCTCTTTCCCTCTATCAGAAAAACACGTACGTGGTCTACAATAACGCCCCAGAGAAGACCAGCTGAGAAGCGCAGCTTCCATCCCGTACCTTGACAAATGGGCAGGTTATCCCACGTTCCATCATCGTGACATAGTGAAACCATGTTGTACAGGTCAGGGTAACGGATCTTGAATCCTTCGTGACAAGTGATGATTAACTTATCTCCATGTCTATACGTCTTGTTGTGAATCTCGGCATCTTCAATTTGAGGGATACGGCAATCTGCAATTTTGTAAAAGGTACACATTATTTTTGGAATTTAAAATGGTTGTAATTAACAGCTCCACAAGAAAGCTCTTCTTTTCGGGCTGCTCCTCAGCCTACACAGCATTCTGATAAACGGTGCCTTATTTGTCACGAGGCTCAGGCACCAAAGACAAGTGGCGGAGGCCACTTCACAGGACTGACAGGAAGAGGGGCTCAGAATGAGGGACCCAGACTGTGGGGGTCCAGTCCCAAAAGGAACTGTATCTCCTGCCTGCCACACTTCACACCATACAGTTGATCTTATGAGCAATTTTGGAAGTGAAGACAGACGAGAGTTGGGGATTAACCTGAACCACCTGGTTCCACCCTTCTCTGCATTTGTGGACAGTATGGGACACACGCAGCCTGACCGGCTGGTCCCCACAGCCGCCCAATTGCACCGCCACTGTGTTCTGGTTTCGGTTTTATCTCCGTGTTTGTATCTCAGGCTGTGGAAAGGGGTTTTCTAACTGTGATGTTCAGCCAGCAGCCTGGGGGCCTGGCCCTGAGCCTGATAAGAAAATACAGTTTGCAGAGCAGCACAGGGGTTGAGCTGTGGTTGCGTCTGCTCTTAGCATTTCCCGTCCACCTCATCCGTGTTTTAAAAGATAATTAACAGCAGCACATACGACTGCCAGGGTCACAAAAGCTCGGAGCAGGCGGCTGTACTGCCTGCCCCAAATGCACTAAGAACAGATGCACGTGCGCCGGAGGAGAAGCGGAAGGCCGGAGTCAGGAGCAGGTCGGTGAGGAACAAGGAGCCTGTGCAGCAGCATGATAGAAGGATAAGATAAAATACACAAATTATAATTACCCACTTCTAACTCTACCCACTTCCAAGGTACTGTACATGTCACTGCGCTCTCGCTGCCACGTTGGGATCCTGCTCCCCGCAGCCCCCCCACCCTAAACATTGCCCAGCTGATCACATCTGGTTTAAGTCACATTGGTCATGACATGTGTCTCTCTCCATCTCTTATGGGCACATCTCTGTTTAATGTTTCTGATTTTATATGCATATACACATGACCCACAGATGGATTATGTTCCAAATTTGTTGGTTCTTAATTTTTTGAAACAAGGCAAAATCCAAGAACAATACTTGTTAGTCATAGAAACTTCCTCCAGAAATTTCTCAATGCTCTAAAAGATTGTAGGATTCTCAGCCACTCACCAAAGTCTACTGAATCCACAATATGGTTGGAATAGTAATAAAAGGAGCCCTGACCTTCCAGTTGCTCTAAGCTTTGAACTGTCAGCTCTGAGGTGCTGCGCCCTGGGAACCCTGACGCAGGGCAAGGGGAGGGGAGGAGCAGGGCCCAGCCGGGTGGATGGCTCTGGGGGCTGGGAACCGTGGTGGCTTTATGAAGGACACATCTGAGGAGCTGTGAGGTGGAGTGGGGGCTGTGTTTACTGGGAGCAGTAGGGATTCTGACACAACAGACTCCAGAAAACAGGATGTCAATGATGGGAAATACTTGGGCAGAAGGGGCCCTCCCCTGAGCTGGGGGAGAAGGAGTAGGGGCCATTCACTGCCTTGTGTGGGTCACCCGACGTCAGACGCTTGTGAGCCCAGGTCTGTCTCAGCCGTTCTCACCACCAGTAGCTTGAGAGCAGGGACTGTATTAGTCACTTCCCCTGATATTCTCTCCATACCTCCAGACCTGTGCACACACCTGGCAGAGAAGACAGGCTGAGCACAGGGCCCTCGGGAGCCGGCTGACAGGCTCAGCACAGCTCGGCAGTTTGGCGTCCTCTGAGGAAACCTACCATCAGGCCTTCCTTTTGCCAATGGATTTCAGCGTGAGAGTCTTGGCTGGAGAACTGTGCTCTGGTTTCAATTTTGTCTCTCGTGTCTGTATTTCAGGCTGTGGAAAGGGGTTTTCTAACTGTTATGTTTAGCCAATAGTTTTTCTGCTAAAGCAGCCTAATTCCCCCAAATTCATCCCAGACTAATCAACCCCAGAGTGACCCTGACCAGAGCTACAGGATAGTTGACAGCTCTGTGCACCCCTGCTGCCTCCTTCTTAATGGAAATGTGAATTACACTTTTTCAGTGGCACTATGCAGAAATTATTCATAGCAAATAAAAACACATTTATCAAGGCATATATCTGTAAAATCTTGACTGTAAATATATCCTGTGGCAGTAATTTATATGTCTAAGCAACTATTTTCAGGACTTACTTAAAATTTGTGCAAGGATTAACCGGTATACTCAGGAGGTGGCCAGTGATAGAGACACGAATAGGAGTGTCCGTTTGGACATTATGGACACGTGGATACTGGCTGGCCAAGAGCAGAGGCACCCAAGCCCTTTTTCCAAGGCTGAGTTCTCAGCATAGTGGTGTATAATGCGGAATGCTTTGAACTTCTAATTAGAACTCCAAGTCTCCACATGCAGAAGTTGGGGACTATTGCAGAGCATATGACACAGGGTTTGAAGGGAATTCACAGCCTCTGGGGTCTCAGTAATTATACACTCTGCTCAAAAAAGAGTCACCATAGGGAGTGAGGCAAGCCAACTTGCCATGTGGGAGGAGCCACGTATCAACTGGGGAGTAAAAATTAGAGTTCAAATCTCACGAAGGTGGAGAGGCCAGGAGGGACTGTGCCTTAGGAGGAAGGACAAAACTAACATGAACTGGCTCTAACAAAAACTAAGCCTTGGCAGGAGAAAATATCATCCAGAGCCTCTCTGGTTTCTTGTCTACAGTGCCTGGCATCCAGTCCCCACTGAAGGAGAGCAAAGTGGAAGAAGGGGCATCTGGAACACGCCCCAGTGAGCTGTGCACAGCAGCAACAACCACATACCTGATTTCTACGGAAAGAAAGAATTCAGGATCTTTAGTATCTAAAGATAAATGTGTAGTCCTCATCCGTTCTAAGTTTCAAATGGAAATAACACAACTTTCTATAGCATAAGTTCATCCAGTCAACAGAAAGAATTTTTAAAAACCACTTCAGGGCCGACCCCGTGGCTCGCTCGGGAGAGTGTGGCGCTGGGAGGGCAGTGGTGCTCCCGCCGCGGGTTTGGATCCTATATAGGGATGGTCGGTGCGCTCACTGGATGAGCGCGGTGCAGGTGACACCAAGCCAAGGATTGCAATCCCCTTACTGGTCACAAAAAACGACAAAAAAGGGCCGGCCCGGTGGCGCACTGCTACAGTGCGCCGCTTGGGAGTACGGCGGCGCTCCCGCCAAGGGTTCGGAGCCCACATACAGACCAGTTCCCGCTCACTGGCTGAGCGAGGTGCGGGCTCAACACCGAGGGTTGCGATCCGTTGCCAGACACGAAAAAAGACAAAAAGGAAAAAAAAAACGACAAAAAAAACCCACCCCAATAAACACCACCGGGTCTTCATCCACCCCAGGTAGTCTATGCTCATGACATGATGTAGGCTGGGGGCATTGGGTCATGCATGTCAACTTGCCCTCTGTAGGGACTGGAGACTAAGGTCAGCCACACAGGGGTCATCCATGCCTACATGACCGAACTGCAATAAAATCTCTGGACACCAGAGCTCAGGTGAGTTTCCTTGTTTATTGTCATACATTGTTGCTGGGAGGAAGTGCCCTCTCTCCACACAGATCCACTGGGAGAGGACATCTAAAAGCGCGTCTGGTGACTCCTAGACCATGTCCCATGCACCTCTTCCCTTGGCTGGTTTTAATCCGTGTCCCTTTGTTGCAATAACCCTGAGTATAATGGTTTTTCTGAGTTCTGTGAGTCCTTCCAGTGAATTACTGCAACTGAGGGTGGACTTGGGGAACCCCAGACTTGCAGCTGGTGTCAGAAGTGAGGGTGGTTTTTGAGACTCCTAAACTTTGTACCAGAGAATCCTTTTTTTTCAGTTAGTATCTACTAACATTCCTCAGAATTATTGTTCCATATCAGTGCTGTCCCAAACTTTTGCTGTTCTAAAGAACTATCATGCCAACACAGCCCAGCCAGCATCGTTCTGACCACCACAGTTGACTCAGGATCAGGCTGAAGATGCTGAATGGAATCACCTGGGGCAGATCCTGTTGTCATAAACAATCTGCAGGAGTCGATGCTACTCAGAAAGGTGACGACTGGAGAGAGAGGGTACTTCATAGAAAAAGAGGCACCACCAGGGGTGGGGGTGGGGGGTGGTGCTGCAGGAGCAGGGCTGGTCTAGGCTGTTTTCTTTCTTCTTTAGAGGATATTGACTCTCATGAAACCTGAAGAAGCATCAGCACAGGACACTCAAGACCTTACGGCTCTCACCTGAATGTTAATGTGAAATTATCATGAGGCCCTAGCTTAAAATCACTGAGAAAAAGCCACAGGAAGAGGGCTGGTCAAAGTAAAGTTATTATAATGAGCATATTTCTTGCACTTAGTATCTTTCTTTGACATAAATTGGTTTATTTATTTGTGGTTGACAAAGGCAATCAGTATATTTGTGTTTTGTTATTTAAAGTATATATTTTTATATTTAACACATGGATAGTAGTTCTTCCAGGGTTCTTAGCTGTCCCTTTGGAAGGGCTGAGATGACTACACATTCTTCTAAACATATGTAGAATATTTACAGAAACTGACTGTACCACCATATATCTACCAGATGGCTAAAATACTGACAATACCAAGTTGGCAAGGAGCACCTTCTGCTGGTGGGGGTGTGAAGTGGTGCAACCCCTTTGGAAAACCAGCAGTGCCTCATATGGTGAACATATGTGTACGCTAAGCCCCGGCAACTCCACTGTTAGCTGCACAGCCAACAGAAATGTGAGCAAAGGTGCAGCATCCCTAATCCAAAAATCCAGAATACTCCAAAATCTGAAACTTTCTGGGCGCCAACATGAGGCTTAAAGGAAATGGTCACTGGAGCATTTCAGATTTCACATTTTTGGATTAGGGATGCTGAACTGGTAAGTATAATGCAAATATTTATAAATTCAAAAACAACTGAAAATCACATGAGGCTTAAAGGAAATGGTCACTGGAG